ATACCCACTTATCATTTAGAGGCCAGGGGGTGCAGTGCAGCCCAAGTGTTGCAGGATTGGTTGGCTGCTGCAGGATGGGGGAGGGTGTGCGACTAGTCTGCAAGGCATGGCATGGCTAGGTAGGGGAACTGTATTGGTGGCTGGCATGGCACACAATGGCTGCTACAAGCTAGGGCAGAGCATAGGTAACTTATCAAAACAATTTGCAACCTTCCCTGCCAGTTTGCCCTCTGATATTCCTTGTGGGAAGACAGCAGGGAAGGTTGTAAATCAAGTGACTATAGGACCTTACAACCATAATAAGAGTGAGCTAGTTGCCAAGTGTTCAAATCATGGTCATGTGACCAATATATATCATAACTTTAATGGATTCTGAATGAGTCACTATTAAATGAGAATATCAGTATTTGAATTATGGCACACATTTTCAAACATTGTTAAAATTATTTCAATTATATTCAATTTCAATATAGATTAATGGGGGGGGGGCATTGATAAATAATTCTGATCCTCAAATTACCAAATTTGATGTGGCGGCCTTGTGGGGCCTTCATTACAAGGTTGATTCTTACAATATGTTCATTAGCATAGGTACATGCAAATCATCAAGGAAACATATAGATTCCTACTGTCTGAAGTTTTATTAGTAGATTAACTGGGAAAGTGTGATCTAGCAGTTAAGGCACCAGGCCAGAAGACAGGAGACTCTGATTTCTGCTCCCACTTTGGGCATGAAAGCCACCTAATATAGGCTAGTGACTCTGTCTAAATTATAGCATGCCATATACCTTGGACTTCTGGGAACCTGGCCAGAAGGATAATACCATATGCAATAGCATTGGCTGTGCTATCTGTTCCAGCAATTAACAGCTCAAACACAGTCATGACCAAATCTTCCATACAGATAACATTAGAATTTCGTTCCTGTAAGGTAAGGTAGAAATAAAATAAAAGGCAGAAGTTTATAATGTGGAGCTTCGTCATTATTTCATCAAATTGTCTATCTTCTTCTTCTTACTTTACCTTTTTTTTCTAGACCAACTTAGAGAAGAGGCAGGGAATAATCCAATATAAAATCTTCCCTATTCTCTACATTAATTTGAATATCCAATGCAACTTAATAGATGTTTGGATCAGATAGATCAATGTTTAAATGAAAGAGACAGAAACTAACAAAAAAGAGCATCCCAAACCAGCCATTCTGTCACTATTCAGTCTCTGAAATGTTTTTCCAAAGTTTGCCACTGAATTATACTTTAAGTGCAATGATTGATTGAATGAATGGATGAATGAATGACTAGGTAATTACTTAGTTTGTTTTAAGACAAGTAATTCATATTCAGTTCTTGTCCTGGCCCCAATCATTTAGGGTGTCCATCAAAAGCCCATTCTCTACAGGACTCTCACGCCCCCACCCAAAAGATAACATTTCTCTTCTCTACAGCTCTTCTTTACCTACTACCAAATTGGCTTTGCTAACTCATGGCATGATATAGACGTGGGCTATGGCACCTCCTTTAGTGCTAAAATGGATACTACAGGCAGATCCACACAACAGTTTCTTAAGGAGTGAGTTTGTTTGTTTACAAACATCATTATTTCTGGGAGACCTCAATTCCTTGTGGCTGCGTATTTTATTGCAGTATTTGTGGCACAGGAGGGAGACACATCTTTTTTGCTTTCTGACGTCTCAGGAGTACAAATTGCTCCCATCATCAGAGAATGGGATACAAGTGCATAACTGAAACTCTGTCCCTGTTGTACTTGTGTGCGAAATATCCTTGCAATATACCTTTTCTAATTTAATGAGGAAGCAATCAATAAAGTCTCTGGGATTGTCTGGATCCAAGGTCTTCTTGTGAGACTCCACTCTAGTCCTAACGTAGTCACAAATCTTGGTACAGTCAGTGACAGCTCTATTGTGAGGTCCAGGAAGGAATTTCATGAGACTTGGCATTGCGCTGTACACCTATAACATGGTGATAATAAATGTTAGCCTTTCTCAGCCCATCTCTTTTGCTTTGCCTTCTGTGCAGCTGCACAGAAAAAAACTGGCTTCTCTATAAAGTGTCCCCTTAATTCTACTTTTTAAAATAAATAAATAAATAAAATGCAAGATCAGTAATGTGCAGTGCCTGCTAATCAAATTAATATAAAATATAATCTCAGGGAACCAAGATTATTTAGTTACATTTTTCTCTTTAGTTATAGCTCCCCAATTCAGGAGTGGGATGCTACCGGTTCTTCCTGGCTCTATAGAACTGGTAGCTCTGAAGAGCAGCAGACACCGAACTGGTTCTGCGTTTGCTGCTGTTTGGCCTGCCCATCCACCCGGGCTCTTACCTGTCCTTTATTTCCTGCTTTTTCAAACTCAGCTGCTTTGCGCGGCACAGCTGAGGTTGAGAAAGCAGGAAAAAAGAGGCTTTTCAAATGCTGCGCACTTGCACACAGTGCTTTTCAGCTCTCTGGGTGGCACAGCTTAAGATAATTTTACACACCTGCACAGCAAGCATCTGGTGTGCAAAACGTAGTCACTGAACTGGTAGTAACACCTGTTGAATTCCACCCCAGCCTCAATTGCTATTTGAGAAATAATGGAATGAAAGCTAAGGAGTTATGGAAGACTTAAAAAACAATGATTTATGAAGGCCTCAAAGTTAGCTGAGAAGAAACAGGGCTGAAGCTTTATCCATCTTGAATAACTCTGGAAAGAATCACTGCTAAGTCACAACACGTAAACTAATCAGGAGCAAGATGAACAAGAGATGCAGACTGATTTTCACAAACACACTTTTTAGGTCGCTTTAAAAAGCCTCCAATTTTTGTAAGTTGGAGGGAACTAACTGAACCAACCCTCTTTAGTCTTAAACAAAGAGAAAACCCTGCTTATAGAGCAACATAAAGATGGCATACCATTCCAGGAGCACTCAAAAAGAAACCTATGAATGCCTTCAAAATTTCTAATATTTCAATGAAGATTTTATCATCATAAGAGAATCGTTTCCCAAAGACAACAGCACACATCACATTAGAAACAGCAGCTGCAATGGTTGGGACTACATCAAAAGGCTGATCTGCAACAGCAAAAAGAAAGAAGAGATTCTGTGACCATGTTTTGCATCCCCCAAATCGTTTTCTCTAGTGACTTTGTGAATTTTCTTTACACTACATTCTGTTTAGACTTTATGCACATGTGGAATCTTTATGGTTCCAGTGACACCTGGAAGTTTCCAATGCACAGCCTGATTCTAGTAAATTATGTCATGGTTGTAATTTGTGCCTCTCTGAAAGACAATTACAGTGCAGGTGGGGCATTTTTCAGGAACTTCTCAATCTAGTGAACAGTCTCTGGAAGTCAGGATTCAAGACACATCATGTGCCGTTCATGTAGATTTCAACCCACTTTTTAATTCTAATCAGCTACCTTCCGAAGTATAACCAGAAAGGCAGAGCATTAATTCAAGAAAGAACAAGTATTTGTTTCTGAATTTAAAGATGAATAAATAAATACACCATCTCACAGTTTTGTTGTTGTGAAGCAAATGGAGGCAACAGCATTATGTACACTATCTTGTGTTGTGTTGTTCACATAAAGGTGGGATATAGTTCTATAAATCAATAAAAATAGTTTGCAATATAGGATCACCTTCAAAGCTTGATATTTTCTCCACCAAACAACAAGCTTCTTCTGACATCCGTTCAGCCATTGACTTCTTTCCCATTCCAAAGTTCCTCAAAGTGGTAAGAGTAAAGCGACGCAGAACCTTCCATCTTTCATCTTCACCAATAATCCCTGAAAGGATAGAAAGTGCAGTAACAAACAACAGACATGGCAGCATTTTCTTAAAGAACAAAGAAAGCAACTTGCCCAGTAGTCTCCCTCACCTGCAAAACATCTACCCTTCTCAAATGTAAAAGTAAACATGCATTTCTTTTTCCTTGAGTCATTGATAGTTTGGCAAAAGGAAAAGAATTTCAATTTTCTCATGAGTTTGCACTCTACTTATTCAGATTATATCTTGAGCAACAGGACTGAAGACACTGCAGCTCAAAAATCTGTTGTTTGTGAAGGAATATTGAATATAGGGTATAATTTCCCCCAGACCACCCAACTGGCCACCATATTATTTGGATTCTAATGCCAATCAGCCAAATGTGGGATAAGTGACTTCAGTTGTACTTCTCTTTCTTAGTTTGATACTTTGTTCTCTAACCAGAGTTTTGATTGAACAACTTTTCAACTACCTCCAAGAGATTTATTATTTAATTTTTCATTACTTTAAAAAAAATGACTACTATCACTTCCTTAAAAAAGTTAATATTTTTATCTTTCTTCTAGCAATTGGAAACTACATCTCAAATTGAAGTGAAAATGATCTGCACTTACCATAGCCCTTGGTTACTTCATCAAGGATAGGTACAGGAGATCGTCCTCCAAATTCTTCACTATGAGTTATCAGGGCATCTTTCACTGCCTCATATCCACAAACTACCACCAATGGCTTTGGTCCTAGCCAGATAGTAAAAACTGGACCATACTTCTTAGCAAGCTTAGGACAAAAGACATCAAAGGTATGAATCAGTGGGATTTGAGATCTCATTTTTGGATATCTGATTCAATTAATAGCTCTGAATACATATTAATGTTTATCATTTAAGTTTAAATACTTATTACCAATGTAAGAGCTAAACAGATAGGCCTTTTCCTAATCTAACAAAAATGGATTTCAAAGTGCTATGTTAATTTTCATAGCCATTAGTATTAGAAATAACCCTCAAATCAAGTTTTCCTAACCTGAAATTTTTCCACTTGAATTTTAATTTACTATAGTTTAAAACCTTGATGGCCAAGAATTATAGTAGCTCATCCAAAATGCATGGTTCAAAAATGGTGCAGAATAAATTCATTGTGATTAAAAGAAACAGATTCATATTAAAAGTGACTTTGTTTTCACATTACAGCATCATTCTGGGTTCTCCATTAAATGTCAACAAGTGTGACATTCAAACATCATGCTACAACATGCATTGTTTAATCCTGGTTTGTTTATTTATTACATTTAACTACCAAATTCCCAAGAGCGCTGTCCAATTCACAAGTAAACATAATGAAACACAAGAAAAAATACAGCAATAAAAATGACAAAGGGGAAAATAATCAAAGGAACAAGTATGAAAAAGAATGGGTCTACAAAAACCAAAGGGAACTTTCTTGTCAAAGGTCTAGGAAGAGAGGCAGGTCTTTAAGGGCCTTTGAAATGCCAAAAGAGTGAGGGCCATTTAGATCTGGGTATTCCAGAGGGCAGGTCGTGCTACTAAAAAACATGACTGGAATGAGTTTAGATAATTGGTTTCCTCCATGGTTCACATCACTTGCAGATTATCCATCATCTCAACAACCTTCTCCAGAAAGGGAACATGTAGTTGTTGAAAATATTGGATCCAATGGTGCACTATTGCCTCTTTCAAGGCAGAAGTCACCACCTCCTCAATCAAGGATGCTGACACCACACTAAAGACCTAACCGCGAGAACACAGAATGGGCCAGATGCTAAACTGATGGCAAAGAGAACTTTGCCTGAAAATGAATACTAGATCATGCTATCAGGCCAAGCACCTAGTTTTGCATCTGACCCTGCCCACTACCATGATTTCTCTTCACAGTAGCCCCCTCCCTTCCCATAGCAGCCCTCTCACCCTGAAAAAGACTGCTAAAAAGCTATTAATAATAGTGAAGATGCAGAAATATTGATGTTTCAATGTCCTTATAATCACAAAGTATTCCCTAATATGGGCTTTTACTTGCATCCAGCTCTCCTCTCCCCCAAGTCCTACCATATTGCCTCAATGTGGCAGAGAGTGTTCCTTGGAGGGATGAGCAAAGAATGTTGGGAGTGTATGCCAAACTATATATTTCCAGCAAGGTCACCCAAGATGTAAAGGTCATCCCAGATGCCCAGCTAAAGCAAAAGGCACCTATATTGGGCTCCAGTAAGATAGGAAGATGTAGGGGCATGTGTTCATTTTAGTGAGAAGGATATTTCATACTGTGTGGGATAGTGCAATGGTAAATTACTTCTGTATTTTTTAATCAAGAAAACCATATCAATTAAAAATATAAAATGATTGACCATGTAGGCCAGAAGATGGGTCCCTCATGTCTTTGTGGAAGAGTTGAGGATCTTTCAGGGTACTAATGATATTTATGACATGGCAAGATCAGTAAATCAAGATGAACTAGATCAGAAATTTTAGTCAGAAAATCACACTGTTTATTACACAGCACATGAAAAGAAGAAATGGTCTTGTTTTTATTATTACAAAGTTTATACAAGAATATATCATACAACCAATGCCTGAATATCAATTACCGGTAGACTTTGTGGACAACTCTTCAATTTGACGATCATTCAAATGTATGCTCTAACTATTGACACAGAAAAAGAGGAATTAATGGTTTTTTTTTTTATCAAGTTCAATTGGAAATTGACAGAATGATGTGCTGCTGATTGGAGACAGGAATGTCATAGTTGGAAATATGAAAGAGGAAAACATAATTGGAAACTGAAGTGAAGAAGAAGAAGACCAACTCATCAATTTCTGCCATTTCAACAAATTCTTAACTAAGGTTTGGTTAGCTAACAACCAAAATGACACTTCTACACATGGACATTACCAGATGGAGTATATAGCAATTAAGCTGAATATATTATTGCTAAAATGAGGTGGAGCTGCATTATTGAAAAAGCCAAAGAATACCCCAAAGAAAGATGTGTCTCATTTATAGAAAGATCTTTAATAGCGTTGATCTCATCAAGCTGTAAAAAATGTTCAGAAAAATGGGAGTTCCAGAATATCTCATTGTCCTCCTGAGAAACTTATATTCAAGTTGCAGTTGATAGATCAGATACAAAAGGCTTCAAAAAATATTCAAATGCCATGCTGTGCCTATATCTATAAAGATCAGACATATGTAAGCCATGGTATTGTCTATAGCACTCTACAGAAGTGAAAGTTTGACTTTGAAGAAGCAGGATAGAAAGAGTATTGATAACTTTAATGTTGGAGAAGATGTCTGAGAATATTGCAGACAGACAAAAAACTGGTTGTTGGATCACTAAACCAATAAACTCAGACTTCTCATTCAAAACACAAATAACCAGATTCAAATAGTCTTATCTCTGGCACATTATACAAAAATATAGATCTCTGGAAAAGGTTGCAATATTGGGAAAGGTAGAAAGAAAAAGAAGACTCTATGATCTCTAGGAGTTGAAAATGACTTGATGGTGTTTAATAAATCAACCAGTAAACCTGTGTCTGGAAAAGTTGACTTCAAGTCTTCTAGCAGTGTTCTAGGAGAATGTTCTGGTATTTCATTTATCAGAGGTCCATAGTAAACCATGGTACACAGGAAGGATTGGTGCACAGGAAGAGGCCACATAGGGATGGCATGCAGATATGAATATGGCCTCAACAGAACCAATCACCTCAAGGAAAAACTCAAATTCTCTCTGAAACTCTAGCATCAGGATGGGTTGATTCAACAGATTATGTCTCCCTGCAGGAAGGAGTGACACTCTTGAGACAAAAAACAATCAGAGAGTGATCTGTATAATAGACCAATGTCAATGACCAGATCACATCTCAACTTTCCCTTGACCATAAAACAGATCCAACATGTAGCTGTTAGTATGCATCTGGCTACTGATATCCAGTTCCATGGTTGTCAATATGTTTGATCAAAACTAAGTCAGCCACATTATGATAATGAGTTATGTGAAACTAATCCATGCATTCATAATCCTTTAACAACAGTTGGGTCCCTAGATATGATTCACACAATTCTTAATAATTTTATGGATATGTTTCTTCAGTGATGACCAAGTTTCAAAGCTGTTCAAAGCTGTTTAAAGTGAAATTTTTTAATCAAATTTTGGCTTTCTGTAAACAGAACAATGCACCTAGGTCTCTTGGAATTATTCTCAGTTTATCACATATTATAAGATTGTAGATTTGTGAATATAAGATTGAGAGCTTAAAGCAGTTGCAAACTGAGATAAACTTGGTTGAGGCCAGAAAATATTTTTCAGTCCTAGTTCTGAAGTACAGAACAGTGTCACTATAAAAACAAAACTGGGCTCTTCAGTGATGGTCTCCTAAAAACTAGTGTACTCCAAACTTTGGTCAAGAAACATTGAAAACTGTCACTAGTGCATGAAACTATTATTATTATTGTTATACTGTAAATGAGGTTTTGTGTTTCATTATTTGGTGAGCATAAACTATTTAGGGGATTAAATACACTGTGGATGTTTTAATTTTTTATGATACAGTTTGATATTGCTCAAGCTATGAGAATCTGGAAGGATTTGTCAGCATATGTATTTAATAAATGAATACATACATAAGGAGTACTTGCAGAAGAGGGCATTAAAAGAAAAGGGAAAGGACACATTATACAATTCACACTTTTACTTGTAGTTGAAAAAACTATAACTGTCTGCGTCCAAGCATCTCATGAAGCCAAAACTATGGTTTTTAATCCATGTTCTCTGGGTTCATCCAAAGTCACATACAAGTCATCTATAGACAAACGACAATGTATGAACCCAATTTTATGTGTTTTAGCTATCTTAAAAGGATGTATAAATCATTAATAAAAACCAGGCATTCTATTTAATGGTTTCTGAGAATACTTCCCAGATTGCCCACTGATGTTGAGAATGGAACAAAAGACTGAGCTATAGATTAATCTAAATAATGCTGTGAAAGAACAGTTGCTTTAAATTAACTATTAATAGTATATTCATTTTGTCCTGTACAGCACTCTGTTCCTCTTAATTATACCATTTACTCTCTGAGAAAATATGTTTGTGCTTAAACCTGCAACTAAAAAAAAATCATGCCAGACAGAAATGAAGTTGGAAGCATCTTTAGTAGTGCTGGAAAGAACCCCAACTTTTGAAATTCCTGTTTTATACTATATTCTCAAAACATGGGAGATTGATAATCTCTCAAATGATTCTTGAATCTCTTGCCCACTAAGAAAGGGGTCATATCAAAGACTGTCTTACCTTGGGGTAGGTTTTATACACAGGCAGAGCATCTTTTTGCAGTAGATTCCCCAGAAAGAACCAGGGTGTTGGTCCAGGAGGAAACCTGGCTCTTTCTTGCTGAAACCGGAAGACCCAGAATATGATCAGAAAGACAATGAACAGTATTATTGTCCCAGGGATCAGATCCACTTGCATGTTTAATCTTCTTGCCTTGATGGAGTGAAAGAGATGACACTTACGGCTTGGAAATGAGTCTGGGACACAGAGAGAAAGACCAGAGGCAATATCAGATTAGTTCTCTAGCTTTCTCCCTTCCACTCCCCAAGGTGTCTTTTCACTTTTCCAGGCTATCAATTGTTCCAGAACATGAAATGCTGTTGTTAAGTATTTGTTTTGATACCATAAGCAAACCTAGAGCAATTGAAGGATTACTCTAATGACATGTTTCTAACTAAATAAAGATTATTTAATTAATCAGGTTTTCTAGATTGAAATAGGTATCTTCTGATTGTGGGTAGTCCTTGAATGTAAAAAATGCAGCTAAATGGTACTAGAGCAAGTATGAGGGAGATAGCATTGGACAGTCCCATTCTGGGCAAGCAGTTAAACTTGATAATTTCTGCAGTAAGAAAATTGTGGTGACAAAGCCAAACATTGACAGTTTAGCCAACAAAAGAAAGAAGTAGATGTACAGATGGGCTTACCTGAATAAGCACCATGGGAAGAATTTATAAATTTATATAACTATTAGAAATATTGTATAGAAAATAATATGTTAGTTAACCCAGGTCTCCAACACCGTAGCTGATTAACAGCCTCTGAAATTCTTTTAAACTTACACAAACATAAGAATTATACAATTGTTTCAAATTGAAAACACATATAAACACACAAAACTCAACTAACACAATTGAATAGATAATTGAAGAGAACAGACAAAAGATACAAGTATAATTATTTAAAATGAGATGAAATAAATATAATAGAATTATGAGAGTGAATAGAGGAGAGAAAATATATAGAAAATACAGAATGTTAATTAAGATATGAAACAGTATATTAAGTGAGTATGAATTTGATTTATGTCTGTATAAAAAGAGGTAACCCGGGGAAAACCGCTTTCCAAAAAGTTTTAGGTATTTATGTTTTGTGTTTTGTATGTCCATGTTTGAATTAATAAAATCTTAGAAGAATGTAAGAAGAATGTTGGAAGAGAATAATGAAATTGTAAATTAGACAGATGGATATAAAGAATGTATACAATCTAAAGTAAAAGAAATATAATTTGAATAATAGAAGGAGAGGGAGAAATAAAGAGATGCTGGGATAAGATATGAAGTTGAACAGATAAGGTAAATATATATATATATTAAATTGTGCTTGTATGGAAATGTGATAATTTGGAATTATTCTTTAAATAAGATGTTTTATTGTTTTTTTCAGAAAAGATCTTCTATGTTATTACATTCTATGCTTTGTTTGTTTGTGTATTGTTTTGTAAAAATTAATAAAATTTGTTTAAAAAAAACTAACACAATATAAACATAATTATAACATAGTTCAAGTGAAAATACCCAATCATATTACTTGATTACTTAATTTAATCAACTCCTTCTCGAGGGTCAACATATATACATACACCAACACCCCTCGAAATCCACACCAAGGACAAGCTGTCCTATAAAACAATCTCTCTGTACCCAATTTCCTCTGTAGCTAACCCTATAGGCAAATCTCTTTGCTTTTGTCTGGTCATTCAGATCATGGTTGTCCCAAAGGTGCTTTTTCAAGAGGCAACTGGACTTCCTTTGTTTTTCCTTGAAGACATTTCACTTCTTATCCAAGAAGCTGAAGAGGCCTTTTGCAAAAACACCTTTGGGACTCTTTTCTTTTGAGAATAAATAATTCTTTTTTTCTCACAACTGTCTGAATTTCATTTTTATTTATTCTTGCACAATCCCAGCTTGAGTTGGAACCCAAATTATTCTTCTGACAGCCTACAAATAATGCGATATTCTGCTCTCATCATCTACAGAATCAGCTGGGAAGACAGTGGAGACATAGGAAAAGGAACAGCCTTTTGCACTTTCAAAATGTTTGGACTTCAGTTCTAAGACTGCATAGCTAGCATAGTCAATTTGGTCTAATGGTTAAAACACCAGGCCAAAAAGCAGAAGATCATGAGTTCTTGTCCCACCATAGCCATGAAAGCCAGCTGGGTGACCTTGGGCTATTCACTCTCTCTCAGCCCAACTTACCTCACAAGGCTGTGGTGGGGAAAATAGAAGGGGGATGGTGTGTTGGATATGTCTGTTGCTTTGAGTTAATTATAAAAAATAAATAAAAATAGTCAGCAATAAGAGACTGTGAAAGTTGCAGTTCAAAAATGGACTGCACATTAGATTTGCTATCAAACTCTAGTTGACAATACTGAATTAAAAATTCCTGTTTGATACATAGCTCATTAAAGTTTGCTGTCCTTCAGTCTGAGCTACACCTCAAGTCTGTTACAAAGATAATGCAGGGTAGGAAAAGATTGACAGTTTTGATTTTTTTTTTTTAAATCCCCAGAGCAATCACATAATCAATAGTTAACATGAATGTGAACTTCTGGTTTGAGCTTCTTCAGTGATGGACCAAAATCCGCAATCGTGCACAGTTTCAATCCGTGCTCGCAGCCGGAGTGCCCTGAGCTGGCTGGATTTGGGACTAAGCCATCCCATAGAGGTGATAAAGAGGTGGAGACTGCCAGCAGGGTCGAGGAGAGCCACATCTCTCCTCCTCATCTCCTCCATTACTTCCTTTCCCGAAGGTGGTTGCAGCGGTGGTCAGAAATGGCCACCTCAAAGAAGAACTCGACTAGAAAAGAATGTACAGGAGGAAGATAAGAAGAAAAAGTTTTGGTTGACCAAGTTAAACTGAGAAAGCAACAACGTAACGTACCCTGGAATTTGAACTATAAAAAATATCATTGTTCCCAAAGAAGACTTTGAAGCAGCGAAGGAGTGAGGGAAGGGAAAGGATTTGGCTTTTTTTCTTCCCTTCCTTATACTGACAGCTAAGAGATTTAAGTAAGAAATTGACAAAAATCCACTTTGACATCAATAGGCATTTAAGATGAAAATAAAATGTCAAAGGGATAATAAAGACTTTTGGATACTCAAAAACTTTTAAAAGCAGGAAAGGAGAGAAAAGGAAAGAATAAAAGAGCAGGATCTGGAAAAATGGAGGAGACTGCCTGGAACTAAAATGAACTTACAGTGAAACCTTAACAAGATTACAGTGAAACCTTAACAAGATACATTCTAACTGAAACTTTGTAATGAAATAATAGAACCCCAGGAAGAGAAAGTGGAAAAATGAAGCAAGAAGAAATAGCTTTGGATTATTTGGATTACTTGGTGATTTTTTGATTGTTGGCTATTGGATTTAAATGACTAAAATCAATTCTGTGGTTGTTTAAAAGTGTTTAAATTGATATCACTTTTAGAAGAACTGAAAATGGAACTTAAAAAACAGAAAGAAGATGCACAAGAAGGAAGAGGTTCTTTTGGCTTCGTATTTCAATTTTTAGAAATGGAGATCTGGAACTATGAAAAACAACAAGAAATGCTTGTAGAACAAGAAGGTTGGGACAAAGAAAAAGCCATCTTTAAATGATCAAGTAATTTTATGTGGGGGGGGGGGAAGGGGGAAAAGAGAGTGAAAAGTTTAAGATTTGAAAAAAAAAGAATAGTTTGAAAAATAATTACAATATTAGGAAGCAACAGAAGAGAGGATCACAGAAGAGAGAATTAGAATTAGAGAGACAAGGGGGCAAAAAGGGGAGGGAGAAGAAGAGGGGGAAGAAGGAAAGGAAAAGAAGTTATAAAAGACAGAAACAAGATATAGAGAAACAGGGAAAATATATAAGGATTGAAAGTATAAGCCTATTTAGAGGTAATGGGTGAAAATTTAATTGAAAAAGGGATTCTGCAAAGGTACATAAGATAGTATTGTTATATTAGATATAGAAATAATTTTAGAAAATATGAAACAATTTATGATTAAAATGATGGATAAAATACTTATTGTATTGCAGTGGAATGCTTGTTAATAAATAAATGAAATAAAGTGAATGAAAGAATGAAATTAAGAAAGGATGGGAACATTTTAATTATTATTAATGATTTATAAAAATATTAGTGAAGAAAAATATGGAGAAAAAGAAAAAGAATAGATAGAACTGAATTGGAATGGAATGAGTGTTTTATTTACTATTGTTATATCTATCTATCTATCTATCTATCTATCTATCTATCTATCTATCTTTGGTTATTTGGGTTTTCTCCCGCGTAAGATTGGAAGTATCTAGGCAATGTTTCGATGAAGTCTCATTCATCATCTCCAGGCTTCTGTCTTCGGCTCTGTGCTTCTCAGACTTCATCGAAACGTTGCCGAGATACTTCCAATCTTACGTGGGAGAAAACCCGAATAACCAAAGATCCACATACTAATACCCGCGAGAACCTCAGAAAAAAAAATATATATATGGAACATAGTGTGTACCAAGCAGAATTTGATTGGAAGTTATGTACTATGTTGAATGTTATAATTTTAAAGGCATAAATTGAAGTTTAAATAAGAGTTCAATGGATAAAATTAAAAGATATAAAGATGTCATATTCCAATTAGTAACTATGGGGGAATTTAGCTTTAATGAGAAAAGATAATATGAATTTGAAATAGGACAGACAAAAGTATAAATATAATGATTGGAAAGACATCAAAACTTAGAAAAAGATATATAATTGAATTTAGATATGAGATAATTAAAAATAAAATTGAGAAAACCAAGGGAGGGGAAAAATTATTGAGAAAATGTTAAAATAGTAATAAGATATGGAACAGAACACAAAGATGAATATGAAATTGAGTTTGTGTCTGTATGAAGAAGTGATAACCTGGGATCATGCTATTCTCAAAAAAAGATGTTTTATTTGTATTATGTTTTTGTGAAAACCCAAATAAAATTTATATTAAAAAAATAGTTAACATGAATGTGTAAAGTTCTGAAGGGACTTTCACTTTGATGAAGGTCCATGGAAAGCATCTTCATGAAGCTGCTTCTCAAACAATGACACCTCTCATTCCCTTCTCAAAGTAAAGCAAGTTTATGGCATTGGGTTGTGTTTGGGGAGGTTCTGACTCATGAA